GAAAGAAAGGAGCTGCCATTTTGCCGTAGTGAGGTCCGAGCTACTTCCTGTTAACTTTCTTCTTCTACTAACACTAAAAGGTATTGTCATAAACGACTACAAGCAAATATGAACAAACAATAACTAAAGTAAACATAAATAACAGCCACAGCCGCCGCACTGTGGCACCTGGAGTTCCCCGAGGTCTCCCATCACAGGACTAACCAGGTCCTGCCCTGCTTAGCTTCAGAAGGTCTGACTGGATCTGGGTTTCACCTGCAGGGGGCGCCACTTAGTTTTCCAAATGTCAGTATGAATAACTATGAATAACAACATAGAGCCACAGCTCAGAGTGAAGACCTGTGTGTTTATAACAGCAGAGAGCCACAGCTAAGAGTGAAGACCTGTGTGTTTATAACAGCAGAGAGCCACAGCTAAGAGTGAAGACCTGTGTGTTTATAACAGCAGAGAGCCACAGCTAAGAGTGAAGACCTGTGTGTTTATAACAGCATAGAGCCACAGCTCAGAGTGAAGACCTGTGTGTTTATAACAGCATAGAGCCACAGCTAAGACTGAAGACACGTGTGTTTCTAAGAGTGAAGACCTGTGTGTTTATAACAGCATAGAGCCACAGCTCAGAGTGAAGACCTGTGTGTTTATTATAGTGAAGACCTGTGCGAGCCCAGAGGAGCTGCCACACTCTGACAGACGCACACCACACATAACCCTCATAAGCTCTGACCCACATACAGCCACACACTCTGCTCCACAACACTGCAACAACAGCATTCTACTGTCGGTACGGAAGAGGAGGAAGAGGAGGAGAGAGGAAGAGGAGGAAGAGGAGGAAGAGGAGGAGTGTTAACGCTGGTTCAGCCACGGTTTATCCTTCGATAATGAATGGACACTACAACTTCTGCTTAAATATATAAAAAGGTTTAATATATAAAAGACAGAATACAGGTTACAGGATACAGACAAATGTGGCAGACTGGTTGCTCCAGTCTGGGCCCTCTCCCTGGCAAACCCAAAAGCAAAAGACCGCGCTTCAGAAACAGGCTATCGGTGATAAGCACACAGTCACATGACATGATAATTGAAGACATATGTCCCAACATCCTTAGGTGAAGACAATACCTCCTTTCCCCAAGACACACAGTAGCCCCACTCAAAGTAAGCCTGAGGCTACTCTAAACAGATGTTCTCTGCGTTCTTGCCTTAATTTAACTTCCTGTGTTTAATGGCTGGGGGATGGTTTCACACATTCTTCACTCTGCTTACTACTAGTTTTTAGATCCATACTCGTTACAGTTATTAATATGATAATAACACAATAACATACTCCATTGACAAGGAGAGAGGAAGAGGAGGAAGAGGAGGAGAGAGGAAGAGGAGGAAGAGGGGGCGAGAGGAGGAGGAGGAGGAGGAGGAAGAGGAGGAAGAGGGAGGAAGAGGGAGGAAGAGGAGGAAGAGGGAGGAAGAGGAGGAGAGAGGAGGAGGAGAGAGGAAGAGGGGGAGGAGAGATGAAGAGGAGGAAGAGGAGGAAGAGGAGGAGAGAGGAAGAGGGGGAGGAGAGATGAAGAGGAGGAAGAGGAGGAAGAGGAGGAAGAGGAGGAGAGAGGAAGAGGAGGAAGAGGAAGAGAGATGAAGAGGAGGCCCTCAGGCTCTGACATGGGCTGTGTCCAAAACGGTAGGCATCGGGCCGCGTAGGGTGGATATGTAGGCATCGAGGGAAGGCCGCGTAGCCACAGGCGAGGTAGGAGGCGAGACGTGATGTGGATTTGGACAGCAGCTGCCTTCTGCCTTCGTCACGTGACTACACAACTCAGAGCGGAGCGGAAGGACACGGCGGCCATGATGGACGGTAAAAAGTTCTAAATACGCTTTAATTAGGACATAAAAGTTAATTCTAATATCATTTGAGGCGAGAAATATCCCCCTCTATTGTCATATCAGAAGTCTGTTTGGAGATAAATTCGAAAATGTTCGGACTTTACCTCCAGCCTGAAGCTCCGGTGCTATAAGCTAACAGCCCAGTTAGCTGCAGTGCTGAAGCCCAGAACAGGCTGTCTAAACACGGGTTCAGGTAATGAGAGCCCCCTGGATGTTTACAATCGTATTCTGAAAAAACAGAGGATGCTTTTGTTGTTACACTTTCTCTGTTATAACAATTGTATTGGCAGTAATCATTAGTTTTTACAAAGTTATATTTTATGTAAACAATGCACATATATGCAATAAATGATTATTAGATATGGATTATATATTTGCTATGGCCCTCGTTTGTGCATCACTTAAAAGTAATTTTATCAGACCTAAATGTATTAACGTGTGTTTGCTGATGAGAGAGAAACATCCATTTATCTATAATAATAACTGGAACATCCATTTATCTATAATAATAACTGACACATCCATGGATCTATAATAATAACTGACACATCCATGGATCTATAATAATAACTGACACATCCATGGATCTATAATAATAACTGACACATCCATGGATCTATAATAATAACTGACACATCCATGGATCTATAATAATAACTGACACATCCATGGATCTATAATAATAAATAACTGACACATCCATGGATCTATAATAATAACTGACACATCCATGGATCTATAATAATAACTGACACATGGAAACATTAACAGACATCTGTAAAATGAAGTTGAACACAGATGTTTGACACTGCTCTTATTCACTTTTATGTCTCTTGAAAAGCAAACAGACCGTTACTAATCACATTTGAGTTTAATGTATTCAATTATAAGTATAAGTATAAGTACTGCTGACAAATATGTAGTTGTGTAAATAATACCTCACTTTGATGACTCTTTACATTTCACACAAACAACAAAATCATAATAAAACCAACAAGTTTGATTTGTTTTCTTTATTTCCAGGTTCCTCTGAAGTGTTGTCGATGAGACCTGTGTCAGAGGCAGACGCCCAGGACTCTGCTGCTGCTCCTGCTGCTGCTGCTCCTGCTGCTGCTGCTCCTGCTGCTGCTGCTCCTGCTGCTGCTCCTGCTGCTGCTGCTGCTGCTGCTGCTCCTGCTGCTGTTGCTCCTGCTGCTGTTGCTCCTGCTGCTGCTGCTCCTGCTGCTGTTGCTCCTGCTGCTGTTGCTCCTGCTGCTGTTGCTCCTGCTGCTGTTACTCCTGTTGCTCCTTCTGCTGCTGCTGTTACTCCTCCTGTTGCTCCCTCTGCTGCTGCTGTTACTCCTCCTGTTGCTCCTTCTGCTGCAGCTGTTACTCCTCCTGTTGCTCCTTCTGCTGCTGCTGTTACTCCTGTTGCTCCTTCTGCTGCTGCTGTTACTCCTCCTGTTGCTCCTTCTGCTGCAGCTGTTACTCCTCCTGTTGCTCCTTCTGCTGCAGCTGTTACTCCTCCTGTTACTCCTCCTGTTGCTCCTTCTGCTGCTGCTCCTTCTGCTACATGTCTTGATGCAGAGCCCACTGTTCTAACTATTCATGATTGCTGATTAAAGGAAAATATTATATACAAGTTTGTTGTAGTTCATAATGTGGTGATGAGGTGATGGAGGTGAAGCAGGAGGTGATGGAGGTGAAGCAGGAGGTGATGGAGGTGAAGCTGGAGAAATTATGACCTTAATTTCACCACAAGTCTCTGAAAAAGAAGAACACAAACATCATGCATTAAAACACAGCCCACATTTAGGATTCTTTTTACACTTCATATTCAATTAATACTATTTATTTGGGGCTTTGCAAAAAACTGGTTAAAAATAAAATACAGAAATCCTTACAGTATTTAATATTAGAGATACAAGCTTCACAGCAGGGGAAACAGAAGAATGATATGATAGAAATATACACACATAATCAAGTTATGAGCATGGCTAACCACTTTAAACCTGTGTTTGTGGAAGTGGGACCTTGTCCTCTGCAAATGTCTTATTCATGACAAACGAAACCTCTGTATAATGTGTGTTTACTATTTATTAGACTATTGTATGAAAAGGGCTTTATAATTATTCTTGGCCTATTCTATCATTTCATATGTCTAATATATACAGTTTTCCCAGTCTCAGTATGGGATTAAAAACGATATGCACAATCTATTTTATGTGTTAGCATACTATAGCTGCTGTGCTGCAGAGTGATTTTCCATGAAAACGTGACTATTTCCTCAGTGTAGCTTTAATATTTAATCAGTGGGTTTGTTTCTCCCTAAAAGATAAAACACAACATGATTTTTCTTGTTCAAAAACCGAATCTGAATGAACTAGCCTCGTAGCATTAGCTTTTCGGGACTGAGCTTATTTACAGCAGATAACAAGGTTAAATACACACATCTGTGGCAGATCTAACTTATGTCTGTGTTTTATCATAACAGTCGTGTTCATAACTCAACAGTAAAGTATAGCAGTACTTACTATAGACATAACTTCACAGTAAAGTATAGCAGTGCTTACCATAATGTTAGCTCCAGCAGGTCCGAGCTGTTGTTTACATGTTAATGCCGAACGGAGTTCTGCGCATGCGCGGCCGTGACTCGGCAAAAAGAAGGCAGCGAAGCATACATCAGATGCATCCTTCATATCTGCTCCAAAAGTGGCCGTTTCCATAGAGACGAAGTCATGATGCCTACGCTTGGCGAGCTCGCCAAGTGGTTTTGGACACCCCTGCAATAGCCGTCGCTTGCGGAAGTGACGTCACGATGCCTACATATCCACCCTACGCGGCCCGATGCCTACCGTTTTGGACACAGCCCTGGATCATGGGTTTTTGCTAAACGTGTTCATAACCACTACACCTCAACTATCCACCGTTTCATTAATATTGTCAGCACTGGGGAGGAAACTAGAAAACCAGAATATTAAAACACTAGAATCCTACTTTTATCTGGACATTGGTCTCTGCTTGTTTTGGACCAATGTGTTTTTTATCGTTGCATTTTCTGTGTTTGAACTGTTTGATTCTCTGATCTGTGATGGAGAATCGACAACTTTGTAAATACAGAAGAAAATGAACTGAGATTGAAAGCAGCATCAGTGGATTCTCTCATTTATGATACTGTTGTTGTTGTTGTTGTTGTTGTTGTTGTTGTTGTTGTTGTTCTTGTTGTTCTTGTTGTTCTTGTTGTTCTTGTTGTTGTTGTTCTTGTTGTTCTTGTTGTTGTTGTTCTTGTTGTTCTTGTTGATGTTGTTGATGTTGTTGTTGTTGTTGTTGTTGTTTTTGTTGTCGTCTGTTCTGTCTCACACACTCTGCTCTTCTGTCGGGCTTTTGGGATTGGAACAAACGGTTCCTTTGATTTGGATCACTGCTCACCGGTTTTGACTGAATGTGAGAAGGTAATTATCACATCTTCTTCACATCTGAGACTACGGTAATTACAGCACGAGCAGGAAACCAGCGCTTCTGCATTTGAGTCTGAGCGATCACAAAGAACATGGCCGTTTGGACATTACCAGAATCATTCCAGTGAACGACAAACACATTTCCCACCGTCACTTTTGCCACAATCTCACACTTTTCGTCCCAGACTTCTTCTCCTCCGTGTCGAGCTCAGCTGGTGTTTCCTGCAGCTCTTGAACCCAGCGCCGGGTCAGACGTGTCCAGAGACAAACGTGCTGCTTTCAGGGACACTCCCCGCGGTCGGACAGTCTGACCTACACTCCCCCAACATGGCGCCCGCTCTACGGGGCCAGGGTCAGGAGCAAGAAGAAGTCATGGGTCCTTCGGGGCCGCACCGGCTCTCGGCTCCTTCTGACCCCGTTGACGTCTGAAGTTGGAAGAAAAGTGGTATAATGGTGAAAAAGTCTCTAAATGATAGAGATGGAGCCGAGCGGCGCCGAGGTCACAGCCGCCTCAGGACGAGCAGGTTTATTGTGAGCCGAGTGAAGGAAGATTTCTTTACGCCTAGCTTTATTTGTAGATTTAATGTTCTATTTATGGGCTCTCACATTCACTGTGTTTTATGTCATTTCAGAACTATTGGAAGTGATTAAATTGGATTGACAGCACTTCACATCTCAGTATTTTTACACTTTGGAAGAGGGTCAAAGAACTGTCGAATCTGTAGATCAGCAGTGAAAACGACAGGACCACCCTCACTCAGCCAATCAGCTCCAAGCTCCAAATGGGACTGTATCGTTTTAAAAATAATCATAAGATATTGGCTTTTCAGACGCTCAAAGTCTCTTCACATCATGATCCTTTCTCTCCAAACACAGTGGGGACAAACTACTGTAGCCACAGCTGCCCTGGGGCAGACTGACAGAAGCCCCTCCCACCACCACCAACCACTCACACACACACCAGACTCATTCTAATGTGGGGGAAGTGTCTTGCCTAAGGACACAACCACAGTTTGGCACTTTACAGCCGCCCCACTGTGGCACCTGCTGTTCCCAGAGGTCTCCCATCACAGAAACATGTCCAAAAGACAATTTAATGTATTTATTTTGATTAAGTTATAACAATGGAAAAAGACCATGTTTAAACATTTACAGAACTTTGGAGACACTGTAACTGTCACATGTTTGATCCTCGGTGGAAAAGAGAAGACCGCCACATTTGGACTGTTACAAGACCCTTTCTGTTCGGATTATTTAGTTGTAAAAAGTCAGGAGAGGTGAGAAGTTTGTGCATGTGTTAAATGTCACGCTTAATGTGTCTTGGTTTAGTTTTGTGCTGTAATTGTCACCTGCTGAAGCTTGCTTTTGTCTACTTCCTGTTGTGAGACTGTCCTCGTGTGTGTCTCTGATGTGTGTCACTCTCTCAGGCCTAAATTAATTTGAACGACTGGAAACATCTGATATTTGTGGATCAGTAACACACAATCTGACTATTTCTGAGAGGGACCTTCACAGGCAATGCATTCTGGGATGTTGCAGATATAATACATAATCTCCTAATTAAGACAAGATAAGATAAGATAGAGTTTCTGGATCTCTGATGGAGAAATGTACGGGTCACATTGACACAGAATCACTCAGATTTGTGCAAAAGACAGAAGTGTGAAACATGTTAACGAAAAGGCCCTAGCAGTGCAGGTTTTCTCTCAGTCCTAGTTCATTAGTGACTTAAAGTGTCTTAAAGTGACTGAAGTGACCCTTTTCTTCTCAGCAACATCAGCCGTCTACGTCCTCCTCACCTTCAGAGCACTTCATAACCTCGCACCTCCACACCTGTCAGTTCTCCTCCTCACCTTCAGAGCACTTCATAACCTCGCACCTCCACACCTGTCAGTTCTCCTCCTCACCTTCAGAGCACTTCATAACCTGGCACCTCCACACCTGTCAGTTCTCCTCCTCACCTTCAGAGCACTTCATAACCTCGCACCTCCACACCTGTCAGTTCTCCTCCTCACCTTCAGAGCACTTCATAACCTCGCACCTCCACACCTGTCAGTTCTCCTCCTCACCTTCAGAGCACTTCATAACCTGGCACCTCCACACCTGTCAGTTCTCCTCCTCACCTTCAGAGCACTTCATAACCTCGCACCTCCACACCTGTCAGATCTCCTCCTCACCTTCAGAGCACTTCATGACCTGGCACCTCCACACCTGTCAGATCTCCTCCTCACCTTCAGAGCACTTCATAACCTCGCACCTCCACACCTGTCAGATCTCCTCCTCACCTTCAGAGCACTTCATGACCTGGCACCTCCACACCTGTCAGATCTCCTCCTCACCTTCAGAGCACTTCATGACCTGGCACCTCCACACCTGTCAGATCTCCTCCTCACCTTCAGAGCACTTCATAACCTGGCACCTCCACACCTGTCAGATCTCCTCCTCACCTTCAGAGCACTTCATGACCTGGCACCTCCACACCTGTCAGATCTCCTCCTCACCTTCAGAGCACTTCATAACCTCGCACCTCCACACCTGTCAGTTCTCCTCCTCACCTTCAGAGCACTTCATAACCTCGCACCTCCACACCTGTCAGATCTCCTCCTCACCTTCAGAGCACTTCATAACCTGGCACCTCCACACCTGTCAGATCTCCTCCTCACCTTCAGAGCACTTCATAACCTCGCACCTCCACACCTGTCAGTTCTCCTCCTCACCTTCAGAGCACTTCATAACCTCGCACCTCCACACCTGTCAGATCTCCTCCTCACCTTCAGAGCACTTCATAACCTGGCACCTCCACACCTGTCAGATCTCCTCCTCACCTTCAGAGCACTTCATAACCTCGCACCTCCACACCTGTCAGATCTCCTCCTCACCTTCAGAGCACTTCATGACCTGGCACCTCCACACCTGTCAGATCTCCTCCTCACCTTCAGAGCACTTCATGACCTGGCACCTCCACACCTGTCAGATCTCCTCCTCACCTTCAGAGCACTTCATAACCTGGCACCTCCACACCTGTCAGATCTCCTCCTCACCTTCAGAGCACTTCATGACCTGGCACCTCCACACCTGTCAGATCTCCTCCTCACCTTCAGAGCACTTCATAACCTCGCACCTCCACACCTGTCAGTTCTCCTCCTCACCTTCAGAGCACTTCATAACCTCGCACCTCCACACCTGTCAGATCTCCTCCTCACCTTCAGAGCACTTCATAACCTGGCACCTCCACACCTGTCAGATCTCCTCCTCACCTTCAGAGCACTTCATAACCTCGCACCTCCACACCTGTCAGTTCTCCTCCTCACCTTCAGAGCACTTCATAACCTCGCACCTCCACACCTGTCAGATCTCCTCCTCACCTTCAGAGCACTTCATAACCTGGCACCTCCACACCTGTCAGATCTCCTCCTCACCTTCAGAGCACTTCATAACCTGGCACCTCCACACCTGTCAGATCTCCTCCTCACCTTCAGAGCACTTCATAACCTCGCACCTCCACACCTGTCAGTTCTCCTCCTCACCTTCAGAGCACTTCATAACCTCGCACCTCCACACCTGTCAGATCTCCTCCTCACCTTCAGAGCACTTCATAACCTCGCACCTCCACACCTGTCAGTTCTCCTCCTCACCTTCAGAGCACTTCATAACCTCGCACCTCCACACCTGTCAGATCTCCTCCTCACCTTCAGAGCACTTCATGACCTGGCACCTCCACACCTGTCAGTTCTCCTCCTCACCTTCAGAGCACTTCATGACCTGGCACCTCCACACCTGTCAGTTCTCCTCCTCACCTTCAGAGCACTTCATGACCTCGCACCTCCACACCTGTCAGTTCTCCTCCTCACCTTCAGAGCACTTCATAACCTCGCACCTCCACACCTGTCAGATCTCCTCCTCACCTTCAGAGCACTTCATAACCTCGCACCTCCACACCTGTCAGTTCTCCTCCTCACCTTCAGAGCACTTCATAACCTGGCACCTCCACACCTGTCAGTTCTCCTTCAGACACACCCTCCCACTCTGCTCCTCCTCTGCCTCTCTGCTCTCTGTCCCTGCAGCTAAAATGTCCTCGGCCCCAGGGCCTTCAGCCGCTCTGCCCCAGACTCTGGAATCATCTCTCCCAGACACTCGTGCAATAGTCTCCATCACCACAGTTAAATCTGGACTCAACACTGAGCTTTTCAGACGCGCCAATCCCACAGAATCCTCCACACTGTGTTTCTAATTTCTTTCTACAGAACTTCTGCCACTCCACACTGTATTTACTTCTGGGCCTTGTATTGTATCGTGTTTTTAATGTGTGTTTTATACTGTTTTTATGCTGCCTGTAAGGTGACTGTGGGAATTTTGAAAGGCGCCCACAAATGAAATGTGTTATTATTATTATTATTATTATTGTACAGTCTGACAGCGGAGGGGATAAAGGCCCTGTACTATATCTAAATATATTAATCTTTCATGTTATACAGTTTAGTTTTAAATGATCAGAGTTCGGCTGCGACACTGACTGCCATCAGGCTGTGAGTCCAGCAGTGGAACTTCTGAGTAGAAAAGGTCAAAAACATGGATATGGAGGAGTTAGGAAATAAGAAATGAAGTAGTTTCAAATCTGTCATCCTCATCGCTCTTTTTATACTTTTATCAAATCAGTTTTTTACAGTCCTGTTTTGGGCTGATGTCGTTTTACCTCCAATCAACATATTTCTCTTTTAACACATTCTCACTCTCTCCAGACTCTTTCCATCGAGTGTCTCTGTAACATCCAAAGAGCTCTCTCCCAAAAAGGCAGAAGCAAAAGAGTCTGATACAGAAATAACGAGGTCCTCCACAAATCCCTGTTTTTAGTTCTTCTGAAACTCTTCTTTAACCGGTCGCTTCAAAGAACAGCACAAAGTGGGTCATTAGACATTTGGGCGACTCTCAGGACTGAGACTGAGAGGACGTCACATCTGCTCCAAGTTAGAGGTTTTAACTGGGCCAGGAGAGTCCGGGCCAGGTGAGTCCAAACCAGGTGAGTCCGAGCCAGGTGAGTCTGGACCGCACTACTCTGGACCGGGCCAGGTGAGTCTGGACCGCACTGCTGTGGACCGGGCCAGGTGAGTCTGGACCGCACTGCTCTGGACCGGGCCAGGTGAGTCTGGACCGCACTGCTCTGGACCGGGCCAGGTGAGTCTGGACCGCACTGCTCTGGACCGGGCCAGGTGAGTCTGGACGGCACTGCTCTGGACCGGGCCAGGTGAGTCTGGACCGCACTGCTCTGGACCGGGCCAGGTGAGTCTGGACCGCACTGCTCTGGACCGGGCCAGGTGAGTCCGGGCCAGGTGAGTCTGGACCGCACTGCTCTGGACCGGGCCAGGTGAGTCTGGACCGCACTGCTCTGGACCGGGCCAGGTGAGTCTGGACGGCACTGCTCTGGACCGGGCCAGGTGAGTCCGGGCCAGGTGAGTCTGGACCGGGCCAGGTGAGTCTGGACCGCACTGCTCTG